TTTCTGATACATGGGATCATCTTTGTCATTCTCCTCTGAATGTTTTCCAGAGCATTTACATCCATTCTGTAATACGGTGACCAGAACTGAGCAGCATAGTCTAAATGAGGCCTATCCAAGGATATATAGAGTTGAAGAACAACCTGAGGACTTCTGTTATTTATACTTCTAGATATGAAGCCAAGAATTCTGTTAGCTTTATTTGGAACACTAATGCACTGTTATCTTGGTTTTAAATTACTGCTAACCAGAACTCCTAAATCCTTTTCGCAATCAGTAGTATTAAGATCTACATTATTTAGTTTATATGTGGCATGGTTATTTACCTGTCCAACATTTAGAACATTGCATTTGTCAATATTAAACTGCATCTGCCACTTCTCCGACCATTGCATCAGTCTATTCAAATCATCCTGGAGTGCTCTAGTGTCCTCATTAGAATGAATTGGACGGCCTATTTTGGTGTCATCAGCAAATTTGCTTATGTCGCTATTTATTTCCTCATCTATGTCGTTTATGTAAATTGTGAACAACAACGGACCCAACACTGACCCCCGTGGAACACCCCTTGTGACGTGCACCCATTCTGATTTCTCCCCATTTATGCAAACTCTCTGCTGTCTATTTGTCAGCCATTGCTCTCACCCAGGAAAAAAATTTCTCCTCCTATTCTGTGTGCCTTAAGTTTCCTCAATACCCTCTGGTGTGGAACTCAAATCGAAAGCCTTACGAAGTCCTATACAAAAATTCTATTTAAATTACCATATCAAACCCCCTTTCAAACACCTTAGGGGAAAAAAGTTAGTAAATTCGTAAACATGAACGGCCTCTTTGAAAAACCGTTTGAGATTCATTAATCAATCGGCCTGCCCAAAGATGGCTAAAATTGGCTTCTGCAATTTTGGGATTCCAAAAAATTTTTTCCCACTTTTTTAGGTAAGGCTTATTGGTCTATAGTTCGAACCCAAAGGGACCTGTCACCTGCCTTGAAAATAGGGTATTACATTTGCCGTTTTCCCACTTATCAGGCACTATCCCCATTTTTTGTATGATATTTAAAAAGATTACCCAAAAGGGTAGGGCAAGTTCCCCTTTACATTCCTTTTAGCACCCTTGCAAACAGTTTCTCGGGGCCTAGGGTTTTTTGTTGGGTTTTTTAGTTTCTCTATTTGTCTGGGGACCATTCACAAGTTACTGCAATCGTACATATTTTTATTATCATCCTTTTTCTACAAAATTTCTATTATTTCGGGAAATATTGCTTTTATTTTTCCTGGGTAAAAACTGAGAGGAAGTGGGGTTATTTAGAATTTAACACATACCTTACACGGGCCGTGATCTGACCAAGTTTTCTTAAGGGGGGCCAATTTTGCCCTAATTTTTCTTCTGTAAACCTGAAAAAATTTCCTTTAGGGTTAATCTTTGGAATCCCTTCCGACCTTAGCCTCAAAATTCCCTTTTTGTTTTTCCCTTTTTCCCTTTTTCTTTATTTCCCCCTTTTAAATTAAAATATTTTGATTTCTTAACTGCCCATCCCCCCCTTTTTGAAACGCCTATAATGCCCTCTTTTGACCAATAAAGTTTTTTTTAAAATCTATTTTTCCCCCAAATTGGGGATCTTTTTTATTAATCTAATTTCCCTCCCGGGAACAAAAGTTGTCGGGGGCAGCTAGAACTATACTCTAAAAAACGTCATATTGGCAACCAAGATCCCCACCTGCCCCAAATAGCCAGGAAAACCCCAATTTACCCCAAACCCAGGTAAATTTTTCGGGGTCCCATGAATTTCCCGGCCCAAAAGCGAAAACTGAGACAAAAATTTGATTGCAGTTATCTGGGAAATTTCCCCGAAAAATTAAAAACTAATGATTTGTGATCCCTTTCCCTAACCATCATTAACCTCAAGATTTTTTAAATTTAGTGAATCTTTGTTGGCAAGAACCAAGAAAAGCAGATTTTTTTCCCTCTACTTGGTTCTGTCACAAATTTTTTAAATTTAAGCAATTTTGAACCATATCAAGAAAGTCACTAAAACTAAAAATTTTTCTTTTCACATTGTTTCTAATCAATTTTTTTTAAAGGGTTTAAAATCCCCCCTTTTAACACAACTTTTCCCATATCTAGATCCCTTATGAATTTCGTCCCATAACAGCTTATTTTGCCCCCCTAAAAGGGTTTTGGGGGCCTAAAAATTTCACCCCAAAATTAATTTTTCAGGGTCCCCGAGAAACTGAGACAAACAAGATTCTGTGTTTGTGTTTCTAATTTTTATATCATTTTCAAAGCCCAAAAATTTTTAAATTTTCTCTGACATACTTTCCGCCCCCCCAAACCCCCCCTTCCTTTTACCCCCTGTCAGTGGGGAAATTTTATAACCCTGTATTTTGCATTCAAAGGCATTTCTCTTCTCTTTAAAGGATGAAATCCAAAAAAATATCTATATTACCTACACTTGCAAGTAATCTTAGCTCATCTATCTTATTTGTTAGACTCCTACTATTTGTACAGTAAACCTTAAGGGAGCTAGTTACTTGTTGCTCTCTACTATCCCTCTTTGTTTGTTGATCAATTGATTTGCCATTACTAGTAACTTTATTTTGAATATTGTCTTTTAATCATATCCCTGAGGTATCCTGGTAATAACTGCTGTTTTTAACCCTAATGCTGCAGCCTGATTGTTTCTCACAAACACCCATACCTCTATAATCTATCAGTTTAAATTCCTAGACAAGTCATCAATTACCCTCTCAATTGAATTGGCTAATGCAACCACTCCATCCCCAGAGAGATGAACCCCATCCCTTGCATACATATCAAGTTTGTCAAAGAATAGGTCCCAGTATCAATGAATGGGATTGCAAGTTCCTTGCAGTACCTGTCTAGCCAGCAATTTATACCAATTGCCCTAGACATCCATTCATTGCCCACTCCCTTTCTAGGCAAGATGCTACATGTGACTGGGATCCCTCCCTTAGACCTAACTACTTCTATGGCTGACCTGTACTTATCCAGCAGCTCCTCTCTCCTGCCCTTCCCAATGTCATTACCCCAAGCACTAAGACAGATAATGGGCTTGATCCCATTACCTGCCATAATATTATCCAACCTGCTGACTATGTCACCAACACCAGCTCCAGGAAGACACACTCTCTGTCTGACCTTTCTGTCTCTGTTACAAAATGCACAGTCCATATATGTGAGGGAAAAGTTCAATAGATAGGAGTAGAGATAAAGTAACGATAGTTTCATTGCCGGCTACTAGTTAAGGTAGGGTGAGTCACGCTCCCGTTTTTCCCACCTTTTCTTCCCCACCCCTAAAGTGATAGTTTGGTTGCCGGCTGCTTGTTAACGTAGGCTCAGTCTAGCTCCTGCTATCCCTTCCCCTCCCTCTTCCCCCCCTCGAAAGGTGACGTGTGGGGCTCTGGTCAAACAGTAAATCACTCGACTCACAGCTCCCAACACTACTGTAAGTACATGCCTGCCTTGTATTCTAGTGGATTTATTGGTTAAAAGCTTCACTTTTGACCAATAATAAACTTAGTCCTTTCAGCCTTGCTCTATGTTGACTGTTGTAATAATCACCAAGTCTTTTGAGTAATGTACACTGCCATGGAGAGTGATTATTTAAGCAGTGGGTAACCTGTCTATCTTTCCAGCTTGGATGTCAGAGAGGGTCACCTGGCAATCAACGAGCAGAAAAGGAGAAGGACTAACGTCCAGAGACTTCCCCATTTTGCATTTAAGTACCTGTGCACCTGTATGAAATTGCAGGACGTAACCCCACATCATTGCAGCGGTAAAGAACCTGCTTTCCTGTCATCGGGATACTACTCACTGGTATACTGTGAAGAACTAGCCAGTGGATGGTCACCAACACCTGCGACCCCCCCCCCTATCATCAGCAACGGCTACGATTTCAACAACAGTGTCACCAACACCAGACACCCCAGTAGATATTAGCGTTGAGTTCAAATGTTATTTTATTCATTTAATTTTTCATTTTTCTTTCAAATAGGATATACCTTTCATGTTTTATTGTTTTATGTTTGATTTAATAAATAATAAAGTGTTTATCTTTGTGAATTATTATTTCTTTTTCTATTCATTAATTTTCCTGAGGAGGAGCCAGCCTGAGTAATACTGACTGAAGTTGTTACAGGGCTGAATAAGCCTTCACAATATATTTTACCTGAGATTCTCCTACTATTAAAATATTCTTACCTTGATTAGCAGGGGAATCAGTGGTACCTTCAACCTCACTAACCACTGAAGTACACTCATCTTGGAGAACAGAGAATCGATTTTCTACCTTCAAATCTTCTCTATTAACTCTCCTCATCTTCCTTCTTCCTGAACTGTGAACCACTTGCCACTTAGAGCGGCTGCCACTATCACTGCTGGTGACCATTCCTTCCTTACCAGCTAAATCCTTCTCACACTCGCTCCCAAACTCATCTATGCGAAGCTTCAGCTTCCTATTTTCCTCCTGAAGAAGTAGAATCTCCTTCTTCAACACTTGAACCTCAGATTCTAAAACACTACAACAAGCCATGGTGCTTGGTAACAGCCCACGCTAACTCCCAAGAGCATAGGCAGGTAGGACCGCAGGTGACCACTGACCTCAGCGTACTGACCACTGACCTCAGCATACTCTGACCACTGACCTCAGCGTACTGACCACTGACCTCAGCGTCCTAGAGTCCAGACTGAATCCGTTTTCTTTGTGGACTTAGTCCTCCTCAGGAACTTGTAGTCTCATCCTCCTCCCTTGTCTTTACTTATAAATGAGCTGAGGAAAGTAATAACAGATCTTAGCTTGTAAATATAGGTAGGAATTCTTAACATAACCTTGTATAAACTTTTATGTATGAGAGAGAGAGAGAGAGAGAGAGAGAGAGAGAGAGAGAGAGAGAGAGAGAGAGAGAGAGAGAGAGAGAGAGAGGAAAATGTGTATCAGTCTGAGCGGTGAGACGGTCCTTTGTACAATAAACTAAACATACGTGTGAAGCCTGGAGAAAGCTGGCCACACAGCCGCTGTCCTTGCACTTCCAGGTAGTCAAACATACAGCTGCCGTCCTCCACGATGAATGTCTCCACCAGCAGCTGCACCCCACAGTGGCTGGGTTGTCCCCGCACCACCGTGAACTGACACTCCAGGTTGTGCGAGTACTGCCCAGGGTAACCCGGCGACTTTATCACGAAGGTATCACCCTCAACACGTCTGTGGGGCAAAGATTAACTGATAAATAAATGCTTTCAAACGAGAGAAGGTACACATATACAGTATCTACTGCATACAAAACCACTAAAAATAACTAGATTATTGCTAATTGGAAGGCTGAATACGTAATAAATGCATTGTTCTTGGTTAACGAAAAATCAGAGTATTACACGACCCCATAGGTAACAAAATGGCATCATAACCACTCAAGCGTTGTCTACTTTCTTTCTCACCCTCTCTCTCTCTCTCTCTCTCTCTCTCTCTCTCTCTCTGTTCTAGCATCGTTCAAGAGACGTCGATGTTGCTGTGGTGGTCTCGCCTGTTCACTTCCTAAACATTAATTACCGAGTAAATAATTTTGCCATTCTTGTTGGCTGGTTCATAAAAATAATATTTTATAGTTAACTCAACTCTAACAGAGAATACCAACAGAGTGACTAATAAGATACCTCACTTAACAGACGGAAGATAGAGTTTACAATATTCTTTGAACTGAATGTACTAGGTATAAAAAATAACACGGAAAAGACCTAAACTAAGAACATCTATTTGGCAGATACCTTCAGAGAAAAACAAAGAACATCTACAGAGAACACCTATATAAAACACCTGCAAAGAATATCTACAGAGAACACCTACAGAGAACACCTATAGAAAACACCTACAGAGAATATATATAAAAAAACACCTACTTAGAAAGCCTAAAAAGAACATCTATAGAGACAACCTACAAAGAACATCTACAGAGAACACCTGTAGAAGACACCTACAGAGAATACCTATAGAAAATGCCTACAGAGAACACCTATAAAAAACACCTACAGAGAACACCTATAGAAAACACCTACTTAGAAAACCAAAGAACATCTACAGTGAAAACCTACAAAGAACATCTACAGAGAACACCTACAAAGAACATCTACAGAGAACACCTACAAAGAACATCTACAGAGAACACCTACAAAGAGCATCTACAGAGAACACCTACAAAGAACATCTACAGAGAACACCTACATAGAAAACCTAAAAAGAACATCTAGAGAGCACCTATAGAGAACACTTACAGAAAACCGCTACAGAGAAATCCTATAGAAGCACTTACAGAGAACACCTACAGAGAGGATCTACAGATAACACCTACAAAGAACATCTACAGATAACACCTACAAAGAACATCTACAGAGAACACCTACAGAGAAATCCTATAGAAAACACCTACAGAGAACATCTTCAGAGAACACCTACAGAGAAGACCTACAGAGAAGACCTACAAAGAACATCTACAGAGAACACCTACAAAAAACACCAACAAAGAGTGCCTATAGAAAACATCCACAAAAAACACCTACAGAAAACTCCCACAGGGAACATCTAAAGAGAACACTTACATAAAACACCTACAGAGAACGCTTACATAAAATACCTACATAAAACACCTGAAGATGGGGTTCATCTCTCTGGGGCTGGAGTGGTTGCATTAGCCAGTTCGATTGAGGGAGTCACTGATGACTTGTCTAGGACTTTAAACTGATGGATTATAGAGGTTTGGGTGTTTGTGGGAAACAATCAGGCTGCAGTAATGGGGTTGGAAACAGCATATATTAGCAGGATACCCCAGGGATATGTTTAAAAGACAATATTCAAAATAAAGTTGCTAGTAAAGGCAAAGCAATTGATCAGCAAACAAAGAGACATAGTAGAGGGCAACAAGTGACAAGCTCCCTTAAAGTTTACTATGCAAATAGGAGTTTAAGAAATATGATAGATGAGCTAAGATTAGTGGAAGTGCAGGTAATATAGAAGTTATTGTTATAACAGAGACCTCGTTCAACTTGAAAGATAGAGAAATGTCTTCTGAATGCAACATAAAGGGTTATAAACTATTCCACACTGATAGGGTCAACAGGAAGGGTGGTGGAATGGCGATGTATGTCAGAGATAATTTAAATTGTTGTGTTAGACGTAACACAAGAATAGAAAATCAGACACAGAATCTGTTTGGCTACAGTTTCTCGAGGGGCATGAAAAATTAGTTTTGGGTGTGATTTATAGGTCCCCAAACCTTGATAGAGAGTACAGTAAGCTGTTATGGGACGAAATTCATAAGGCATCTAGATATGAAAATGTTGTGTTAATGGGAGATTTTAACTTTAAACAAATTGATTAGAGCAATGTGAAAAGAAATCTTGAGTCTAGTGACTTTCTTGATATGGTTCAGGATTGCTTATTAAAACAGTTTGTGACAGAACCAAGTAGAGGAAACAATCTGCTTGACTTGGTTTTTGCCAACAAAGATTCACTAATTAATAATCTTGAGGTTAATGATGAGCTTGGGGAAAATGATTACAAATCACTTAATTTCAATACATTGTGGAATTACCCAGTAAACTGCAATCAAGTCTCTGTCCCAGGCTTCCGCTTGGCCGATTTCATGGGACTGAGAAATTACCTGGGTGGGCTAAATTGGGATGACCTGACTATGGGTCAGGTTATCCCAATTTAACCCACCCATGTAGTGTTGATTGCCAATATGACGTTTTGCAGAGCATAGTTTAGGCTGCCCAGACAACTTTTGTTCTGAGTAGAGAAATTAGATATAACAAAAATGATCCCAAATGGATGAACAATAGATTAAAAATCTCATTGGTCAAATGAGAGGCATATTTAGGACTATCTAAAGAGGGGAAGGGCAGTTTAGAAACTAATATATTCAATTAAAGATAAAATAAAAAAAGGAATAAGAAAAGAAAATAGGGATTATGAGGCTAAGGTCGCAAGGGAGTCGAAAACTAACCCAAAAGAGTTCTTTCAGGTATGCAGAAGTAAGATTAGGGACAAGATAGGCCCACTTAAGAGTAACTCAGGTCAGATCACTCTCAGTGCCAAGGATATGTGTAAAATTATCAATACATTACTTACTTCCTCTCAGTTTTTAATCAGGAAGATACTAGCGAAGTTCCAGAAATAATAATAAATATGTAGAACAGGACGATAATAAACTATACATGATTGGGGTAGCTAGTGACATCATCCTCAGACAAATAGAGAAATTAAAACCTAACAAATCCCAAGGCCCTGATGAATTATTTGCAAGGTATTTAACGGGATGTAAAGAGGAACTTGGCAAACCTTTGGCTAATCTTTCCAACATATCACTACAAACTCCTCAAGCACTAAACTGTTGGAGGAGGTAGGTCATGGTAATGAATATGATATTGTGTATATGGACTTCAGTAAGACTTTCGATAGAGTTCCACATCAGAGACTATTGAGGAAACTTAAGGCACAGGGAGTAGGAAGAGAATTTTTTTTCATGGGTAGAGGCATGATTGACAAATAGGCAGCAGAGAGTTTGCATAAATGAAGAGAAATCAGAATGTGGTCACGTCACAAGTGGTGTTTTGCAGGGGTCAGTGTTGGGCCCCTTGTTGTTCACAATTTACATAAACGACATAGATGAGGGAATAAATAGCGACATAAGCAAATTTTCTGATGACACCAAAATAGGCCGTCCAATTCATTCTAATGATGACATTAGTGCACTCCAGGAAGATTTGAATAGACTGATGCAATGGTCGGAGACGTGGCAGATGCAGTGTAATAAAGACAAATGCAAAGTTCTAAATGTTGAACCGGACAATAACCATGCCACATGTAAATTGAATAATGTAGATCTTAATACTTCTGATTGCGAAAAGGATTTAGGAGTTCTGGTTAGCAATAATTTGAAACCAAAACAACCGTGCACAAGTGTTTTCAATAAAGCTAACAGAATCCTTGGCTTCATATCAAAAAGTATAAATAATAGAAGTCCTCAGGCTGTTTTTTCAACTCTATATATCCTTGGTTAGGCTTCATTTAGATTATACTGCACAGTTTTGGTCACCGTATTACAGAATGGATATAAATGCTCTGGAAAACGTTCAGAGGAGGATGACAAAGTTGATCCCATGTATCAGAAATCTTCCCTATGAGGATAGACTGAGGGCCCTGAATCTGCATTCTCTAGAAAGGCGTAGAATTAGGGGGTATATGATTGAGGTGTATAAATGAAAAACAGGAATAAATAAAGGGGATGTAAACAGCGTGGTAAAAATTTCCAGCCAAGACAGGACTCGCAGCAATGGTTTGAAGTTGGAAAAGTTCAGATTCAGGAAGGATATAGGAAAGCACTGGTTTGGTAATAGAGTTGTAGATGAGTGGAACAAACTCCCGAGTACTGTCATATAAGTTAAGACCTTGTGTAGTTTTAAAAATAGGTTGGATAAATACATGAGTGGGTGTGGGTGGGTGTGAGTTGGACCTGCCTAGCTTGTGCTACTAGGTCTTATGCCATGTTCCTTCCTTAAGTGGAAGTGGCCTGACCAGGTGGGTCATTGGTCTAACCATGGAAGTGACATTGGCCTGCCTCGCATGGGTCAGTAGGCCTGCTGCAGTGTTTCTTCTTTCTTATGTTCTTTTGCTCTTATAAAACTCCTACATAAAACACTTACAGAGAACACCTACAGAGAACACGTACGTGAAACACCTACATAAACGCCTACAGAGGACACCGACGTGAAATACCTGCATAAAACAACTACATAAAACACCTACATAAAACACGTACAGAGAAAACCCTCAACAATGGTTAATGTTTTCCACAACGTCAATATTCCAACACTTCCGTTTTTTTTTTTCAAACTAAATTTTTTTATCTACAAATAGATTAAGTTAATCAGTGCTAGGTTGAGTCGGGTAATGCTGGGCTATATTCAGTCAGGTTAGGTAAGATTGGGTTAGGCTCAGCAGGTTAGGTAAGATTGGGTTAGGCTCAGCAGGTTAGGTAAGATTGGGTTAGGCTCAGCAGGTTAGGTAAGATTGGGCTAGTTTCAGTCAGTTTAGGTAAGGTTTGGTTAAATTCAGTCAGGTTACCTAGAGGGGCTTCGGGAGTAAATGCCCTGCGACACGGTTCGTGATCAGGCCTCGTGGTGGATCAGGGCCTGATCAACCAGGCCGACTTATGAACCACAGTCCAGTTGGTCAGGTACTGACTTTAGTCGCTTGTCCAGCTCCTTCTTGAAGACAGCCAGGAGTCTATTGGTAATCCCCCTTATATATGCTGGGAGACACTTAAACGGTGTTGGGCCCTTGACATTTATTGTGTTGTCTCCTAGTATACTGGTGGCGCCCCTGCATCTTCTGCCGAATCGTTTGCTTTCATAGGAAGTGTTTTTCTTGTGCAGATTTGGGATTTTCTAAGTGTATATTATTATGTATCTTTCTCGCCTGCTTTTCAGAGAGTAGAAATCGAGGGACTTAAAACATTTCCAGTAATTTAGATATTTTATCATAACTGTACGTGCCGCGAAAGTTCTCCATATATTCTCAAGGTCTACAATTTCACCTGCCTTGAGAAGGACCGTTAGTGTATAGCAATATTCCAGCCAAGAGAGAAGAAGGATTTTGAAGGGAATCATCATGGGCTTGGCATCTCTAGTTTTGAAAATTCTCATTATCCATCTTCTCTTTTTCCTAGCAGATGCGGTAAATACATTGCTGTGATCTTTGAAAGTGAGATTCTCTGACATTATCACACCCTGGTCCTTCACATTAGTTTTTCACTCTATTGTGTGGTTGGAATTTTGCTTTATACTCCGATACAGTTTTAATTTCCTCGAGTTTTCCATACCGGAATAATTTAAATTTGTCTTCATTAAATTTCATATTGTTTTCTGCGGCCCATTTAAAACTTTAGTTGATGTCCGCTTGGAGATTTGCAGTGTCTAAGATGGATGATACTGTCATTTAAATTCGATTGTCATCCGCAAAAGGTGGACACGGTGCTGTGGCTTATATCGCTGTCTATGGCAAATATGAGGATGAGGAACAAGATGGGAGCGAGTACTGTATCTTGTGGAACAGAGCTTTCACTGCAGCCGCCTCTGACTTTACTCTGTTTACTATTACTGTATGTGCTTCATTTATTAGGAAGTTATAAATCCTTCTACCCACTTTTCCTCCTATTCCTTTACCACACATTTTGTTTGTTATTACACCATGATCGCACTTGTCGAAGGCTTTCGCCAAGTCTGCATTTTACTTTTCCTCCAGAGCATTGAAGACCATGACATAGTGGTCCAGTGGTTGGGATAGGCAGGAGCGACCTGTTCTAAACCCATGCTGCTCTGAGTTGTGCAACTGATGGGTATCTATGTGGGTGGTGATCTTGCTTCTTAGAACTCTTATGATGTGGGACGTTAGTGCTATCGGTCTGTAATTCTTTGCAATTGCTTTGTTGCCACTTTTGTGGAGTAGGGTTATGTCTTGTTTTTAGTGAGTGGCGGATGACCCCTGTGTCCATGCTTCCTCTCCACAGAATCTTTAAGGCATGTGAAAAGGGTTTCTTGCAATTTTTTATGAACACGGAGTTCCACGAGTCTGGGCCTGGGGCAGAATGCTTTTTCAAAGTCTTGTGTTAGGATTTCAGAAATTTTCGAATTGACCAAATTTTGAATGTCGCTCGACCCTTAGTCAGATTAACGGCTAATTAAACGCTGAGTCATAATGGGACTTCAGTATCTTACTCATTGTTGCTATCTGTGTAAGTCCCATCCTGTTTAAGCAGGAGTCCAATACCGAATGTTGTTTATGCACTAGATTTGGCATATGAAATATTTTTTTTTTTTAATTTCATTTCATTTTTTTTTCAGTGTTTCTTGTTTCCTATATGATTTCTTAAGCTTAAGTTCGTATATATTTGCTATTTCTCTGACCAGTGCCTCATTTCATATTTCAGATATACCGGCCCCTTTTAGCAGCTCTGTGATTCGTCATCTTTGCCTGTATAGGGAGCGTCTCTTTCTAGTTTACATCTTCTCTTCTTTTTTCTTAAAGGAAAGTGCCTTGAGCAGACCTCAAGTGCCACAGTTAATTCTTTCTAGCCAAAGGTTCGGATCCATGTTGTTTTGAATATCTTCCCAGTTTGTGTCATTGAGGATATGGTTAATTTGATCCCACTGTATGATTCTGGTAATGAAATTAAATTTGGTGAAGGCACCCTCATAACTGATCTTCTTATGCATGTCAGGAGTCTTGCGCATACATGTCTGTACCTCTGTTATGTTATGATCTTAGTGTATTGTTATAGTATTTCGTATCAAGTCATTATTAATAGTGAAGAAGAGATGCAGTGTATTTTCTAGTCTTCTTGGCTCCACTATTTGCTGGCTTAAGGTGAATTTGTTGCAGAGGTTTAATAGGTCATGATGTGTGAATTTTCATCTGAGCTGCCTCCTGGGGTTATCTCTGCTGAAACATTATTTGCTACATTCCTCCATCTTAGGTGTCTTAATTTGAAATCACCCAACAGCAAGATGTTTAGAGCAGGAGTTGTGAGATTTTCCAGACAGTAGTCAATTCTCAAAATTTGTTTCTGGAATTGTTGAGAAGTTGCTTCAGGAGGCTTGTATACAAGCACAATGACATGGTTTTGTTGTCAAGCTTTACTACTAAAGTTTCAACTACAACATTTGTGATGTTTAGTAATTCTGTGATATACTGACCCACCCCTCTGCCCCTTACTGCTTGTTGTTGTTTTTTTTATGGCATCTGAATATGTTATAATTTTGGATCCATATTTCCTTGTCAAAGTGATTCTTTATGTAGGTCTCTGTGTAAGACGCAAATATTGCATTTGACTCTGTGAGCAGCCCACAGATGAAAGGTATTTTGTTGTTTGCTGATGGTTTTAGATCTAACCCTGTATATTTGCCAAGATAAATGTTGTCGTATTGATGGTATGTAGGGGTCTTTGTTTGCGGGCACTTATATCTGTTGCTCTGGAGCAGAGGTTACTGACTGTGCCTCCACTTTAGTAGTGATGCGATGTGTTGTATTTCTGTCATTTCCTGCCAGTTTCTTTTTCTCCCTTGCACTAAAAAATCTCTGTCTCTGGAGTGGTTGTAAATACCTTGGTTCATTTCTCAAGATCTGTGTGATCTGTACCTTCTTGTCCCTTCTGAATGGTATGCCCGACAGTGTGTGTTGTACCATTTTCTTTCATGGACCGAATTTCACTACTTTGGTCATGTGGTCGCGGCATTTTTTTGAGGATGGTCACGATTGCGCATCCCACTTGTTTTCCCAGATATTCCATTCCTACAGATATCCAAGGCATAGAATTTACATAGATGTGACTTCTGTTTGCCAAGATTTCTTGTGATCAGGTTCCCTACTGCAATTTTTACTGGCCCATCACTATCTGCAGTACCAGTACCAGCATCAGTGCCACCACAAGTTATATCTGGTGGAGTATCAACACCCTTCACCAAAGTATGGTCCATTTTTTCTCAATCTCCTGTAGTATTTCTGTTTTGTATTTCTGCATCTTTTATGTCTTGGTCATTTCCTCCTACTACAGTACTAGCACCATTATCTCCATTTGGTGCACTGTCTTGCATTTCTATATCTTCACAGGTATTTTCTTCCAAGACAGCACCAGGGGTGACAGCTCCAGCTAACCCATTCCCTTTACTTTCCCAACTGTCATACAGGTCTGTGAAATTTTCCAAAAAGAATATTTTTTTTATTGGTGTTTGTCTTTCAGAATAAATTAGATTTGTTCTCATTTCCTCATGTCGCTTTGGCAGACCCAGAAACATTTTCCTGTTTTAGTATCATTTGTAGTATATTGGTGTATATTTGCACAAGAGCCATGACTCAGTTTTTTTTTTTTTCAGAAATTACATGTTACCAAAGCGACATCTCACTTGGTAATAGAGCCACAGCTGACACAGGTAGTTTTTTCAATGTTGGAAAGCTGGTGTAAAAGCCTACTAAAAAAGGTAGTTTGATATGGAAAGTTTACTGGCAAACATTTACTGGTAAAAGTGTTAATGAACTGGTGACTGCTGGCAGCTCTTGTACACCCTAGGTGCTTTGGGGCTCGTATCTCGGTATGATTAGGTAAGGTTGGGCTAGGTTTAGTCAGGTTAGGGTAAGCTGGGCTAGGTTCAGTCAGATTAAGTGAGGTTGGGCTAGGTTCAGTCAGAGTAGGTGAGGTTGGGCTAGGTTCAGTCAGATTAGGTGAGGGTGGGTTAGGTTCAGCCAGATTAGGTGAGGTTGGGCTAGGTTCAGTCAGATTAGGTGAGGCTGGGCTAGGTTCAGTTAGATTAGGTAATATTGGGCTAGGTTCACTCAGGATAGGCAATTGTGAACTAGATTCAGTTATGTAAGGTAAGACTGGGCTAGATTCGTTCAATTTAGGTAAAGCTGGGTTAGGTTCAGTCAGATTAAGTTAGGTTGGGCTAGGTTCAGTCTTAATAGGCAAGGTTGAGCAAGGTTCAGTTTTTTTAGGCAAGCATGGGCAAAGTTCAGTCAGTTCAGGCAAGGCTGGGCCAGGTTAGGAAAGGATGGGCAAAGTTCAGTCAGGTTAGACAAGAGTGGGTAAGGTTCAGTCAGGTTAGGCAGGTTAGGTTATTTGTGTATTGCGTAAGGATGTGAAAGGTTCGGTCAGATTAGGTAATAATGGGTAAAGATCAGTCAGGTTAGGTTAGATGAACAACTACAGAGAGAACACATAGAACATATACAAAGAGAACCTCTGTATTTAAAATGCCTTCAATGAGAATATTTCAGGTGAGATCACTTGCAGAGAGACTGCACAGAGAGAAAACTCCTAAAGAGTACACATACAGAAAGAACACAGAAAGAAAAAAAACATCTGCACAGAGAGTACCTATGGAGAACTTACCTGTCGCAGGATACCGAGGAGGTAAGGGGAGCACCTAGGGTCCTGGGCAAGCGGCAGGTTTTCTCCTGGCGGCCATGCAAGAGGAAGCCAGACGCCCCGTGGCCGCTGCTACTACGGAACTCCACCATCATGAGTGACGACGGGAAGAGGAAGGTGGCTATAAGGAAAAAAGGGAATATATATATATATATATATATATATATATATATATATATATATATATATATATATATATATATGTCGTGACGAATACGTAAAACTGGTCAATTAGCAAGAACTCATTTAAAATTAAGTCCTTTCTAAAATTTTCTTTTATACGTTTAAAGATATATTTTTTTCATTAATGTTGATGTAAAAATTTATAATTTTGCACCAAAAGGCACTTAGAAAACTTACCTAACCTTATTATAACAAGCGCAATTTATTTTAGCCTAACCCAACAAAATATATTTTAGATTTGTTTACAATAATTTAATACTAAACAAACACAATGAAATATATTTTTTTCGTTAGGTTCAGAAAGATTTTGGCGAAATTATTGCATACACAAATTTTCACTTGTCCTATATGGCAAGATGAGCGTTGCTATTTAAGCCAATATCGCAAGTTCTGCCTATTCGGCACGACATATATATTATATATATATATAATTATATATATATATATATATATATATATATATATATATATATATATATATATATATATATATATATATATATATATATATATATGTATATCACACTGGCCGATTCCCACCAAGGCAGGGTGGCCCGAAAAAGAAAAACTTTCACCATCATTCACTCCATCACTGTCTTGCCAGAAGGGTGCTTTACACTACAGTTTTTAAACTGCAACATTAACACCCCTCCTTCAGAATGCAGGCACTGTACTTCCCATCTCCAGGACTCAAGTCCGGCCTGCCGGTTTCCCTGAATCCCTTCATAAATGTTACTTTGCTCACACTCCAACAGCACGTCAAGTATTAAAAACCATTTGTCTCCATTCACTCCTATCAAACACGCTCACGCATACCTGCTGGAAGTCCAAGCCCCTTGCACACAAAACCTCCTTTACCCCCTCTCTCCAACCTTTCCTAGGCCGACTCCTACCCCGCCTTCCTTCCACTACAGACTGATACACTCTTGAAGTCATTCTGTTTCGCTCCATTCTCTCTACATGTCCGAACCACCTCAACAACCCTTCCTCAGCCCTCTGGACAACAGTTTTGGTAATCCCGCACCTCCTCCTAACTTCCAAACTACGAATTCTATGCATTATATTCACACCACACATTGCCCTCAGACATGACATCTCCACTGCCTCCAGCCTTCTCCTCGCTGCAACATTCATCACCAATGCTTCACACCCATATAAGAGCGTTGGTAAAACTATACTCTCATACATTCCCCTCTCTGCCTCCAAGGACAAAGTTCTTTGTCTCCACAGACTCCTAAGTGCACCACTCACTCTTTTCCCCTCATCAATTCTATGATTCACCTCATCTTTCATAGACCCATCCGCTGACACGTCCACTCCCAAATATCTGAATACATTCACCTCCTCCATACTTTCTCCCTCCAATCTGATATTCAATCTTTCATCACCTAATCTTTTTGTTATCCTCATAACCTTACTCTTTCCTGTATTCACCTTTAATTTTCTTCTTTTGCACACCCTACCAAATTCATCCACCAATCTCTGCAACTTCTCTTCAGAATCTCCCAAGAGCACAGTGTCATCAGCAAAGAGCAGCTGTGACAACTCCCACTTTGTGTGTGATTCTTTATCTTTAATAAATATATATATATATTATATATATATATATATATATATATATATATTATATATATATATATATATGTAAACACCGGCAGGCCAGACATGAGTCTTGGAGATGGGAAGTACAGTGTCTATACACTGAAGGAGGGGTGTTAATGTTGCAGTTGACATGCCCATGCACTCTTCCCCAGGCCCAGACTCATGGAACTCCGTGTTCATCAAGAATTGCAAGAAGCCCCTATCACGAGCTTTCACCATCCTATGGAGAGGGAGCATGGACATGGGGGTCGTCCCACAGTTACTAAAAACAACAGACATAGCCCCATTCCGCAAAGGGGACAGTAAAGCAATAGCAAAGAACTACAGACCGATTGCACTAACATCCCATATCATAAAAATCTTTGAAAGGGTCCTAAGAAGCAAGATCGCTACCCATCTAGATACCCATCAATTATACAACCCAGGTCGCTCCTGTCTGATTCAGCTACTGGATCACTACGACAAGGTCCTAGATGTGCTACAAGACAAAAATAATGCAGATGTAATATATACAGACTTTTCAAAAACCTTCGACAAGTGTGACCATGACGTAATAGCGCACAAAATGCGTGCTAAAGGAATAACAGGAAAAGTTGGAAGATGGATTTATAATTTCCTCACAAACAGAACACAAAGAGTAGTAGTCAACAGAGTAAAGTCCGAGGCGGCTACGGTGAAAAGCTGTTCCACAAGACAAAGTACTCGCTCCCATCTTGTTTCTCATCCTCATATCTGACATAGACAAGGATGTCAGCCACAGCACCGTGTCTTCCTTTGCAGATGACACCCGAATCTGCATGACAGTGTCTTCCATTGCAGACACTGCAAGGCTCCAGGCGGACATCAACCAAATCTTTCAGTGGGCTGCAGAAAACTATGAAGTTCAACGATGAGAAATTTCGATTACTCCGATATGGTAAACATGAGGAAATTAAAACTTTATCAGAGTACAAAACAAATTCCGGTCACAAAATAGAGCGAAAAACCAACGTCAAAGCCCTGGGAGTGATCATGTCGGAGGATCTCACCCTCAAGGACCATAACATTGTATCAATCGCATCTGCTAGAAAAATGACAGGATGGATAATGAGAACCTTAAAAATTAGGGTTGCCAAGCCATGATGACACTCTTCAGGTCGCTTGTTCTATCTAGGCTGGAATATTGCTGCACACTAACAGCACCTTTCAAGGCAGGTGAAATTGCTGACCTAGAAAATGTACATAGAACCTTCACGGTGCGCATAACGGAGATAAAACACCTCAATTACTGGGAGCGCTTGAAGTTCCTGAACCTGTACTCCCTGGAATGCAGGCGGGAGAGATACATGATTATATACACCTGGAAAATCCTAGAGGGACTAGTACCGAACTTGCATACGAAAATCACTCACAACGAAAGCAAAAGACTCGGTAGACGATGCAACATCCCCCCAATGAAAAGCAGAGGTGTCACTAGCACGTTAAGAGACCATACAATAAGTGTCAAGGGCCCGAGACTGTTCAACTGCCTCCCAGCATACATAAAAGGGATTACCAATAGACCCCTGGCAGTCTTCAAGCTGGCATTGGACAAGCACCGAAAGTCGGTACCTGACCAGCCGGACTGTGGCTCGTACGTTGGATTGCGTGCAGCCAGCAGTAACAGCCTGGTTGAACAGGGTCTGATCCACCAGGAGGCCTGGTCACAGACCGGGGCGCGGGGACGTTGACCCTCGGAACTCTCTCCAGGTAAATTCCAGGTAAAGCACCCCTCTGGCAAGACAGTGATGGAGTGAATGATGATGAAAGTTTTTCTTTTCCGGGCCACCCTGCCTTGGTGGGAATCGGCCGATGTGTTAATATATATATATATATATATATATATATATATATATATATATATATATATATATATATATATATATATATATATAATATATATATATATATATATATGCCGTGCCGAATAGGCAGAACTTGCGATCTTGGCTTAAATAGCAACGCTCATCTTGCCATATAGGACAAGTGAAAATTTGTGTATGCAATAATTTCGCCAAAATCATTCTGAACCTAACGAAAAAAATATATTTCACTGTTTGTTTAGTATTAAATTACTGTAAACAAATCTAAAATATATTTAGTTGGGTTAGGCTAAAATAAATTGTTCTTGTTATAATAAGGTTAGGTAAGTTTTCTAAGTTCCTTTTGGTGCAAAATTATAAATTTTTACATCAACATTAATGAAAAAAATATATCTTTAAACGTATAAGAGAAATTTTTAGAAAGGACTTAATTTTAAATGAGTTATTGCTAATTGACCAGTTTTACATATTCGGCAAGACATATATATATATATATATATATATATATATATATATATATATATATAATATATATATATATATATATATATATATATGTCGTGCCGAATATGTAAAACTGGTCATTTAGCAAGAACTCATTTAAAATTAAGTCCTTTCTAAAAATTTCTCTTATACGTTTAAAGATATATTTTTTTCTTTAATGTTAATGTAAAAAAAAATTAATTTTGCTTCAAACGAATCTTAGAAAACTTACCTAACCTTATTATAACAAGAACAATTTATTTTAGCCTAACCCAACTAAATATATTTTAGATTTGTTTACAATAATTTAATACTAAACAAACACAGTGAAATATATTTTTTTCGTTAGGTTCAGAATGATTTTGGCGAAATTATTGCATTCATAAATTTTAGCTTATCCTATATGGCAAGATGAGCGTTGCTATTTAAGCGAAGATCGCAAGTTCTGCCTATTCGGCACCCTCTATATTTAATATATATTTCATTTAAAGACAAAATACATTGACAAAACATTCACAAAATACAATAGAAAGTAAAACAACACAGATAACAACTCAGAGCTACATCTCAAATACTTCGTCCAGCTCCCCGGCGGTGGGCTGCGTGCCCAGAATGCTGCAGGCATTTCCTCTCTGGATCGCAACACTGAGTCTCTGAAAGAGGAAGCTGGTCGCCCTGTGGTCCTTGGTTTCTATGATGAGCTTTTCACCCAGCTCTTTGAGGAACTTTAGAGTACACTTGCCCCATGCTCCAAGGGTCTCCGACCCTATTGGGATGAAGTTATAGCAATGGGGAAGGTCTTCATATTTGCAGATCTTCTGGGTCTCCCTATGGCTGGCAGCTCCACCCCTTTCAGCTATGGAGTATGGCAAGTAGGTGTCTGCTAATGTGGCAGCACAGGTGTAGTCTCAGGGAATCTGTTTTCCATCCTTCCAGGGTAGCATAGTGGCTCCATCAGGACGCTTTTGACTTCTGTCAGACCTCTGCACTTGGGGGTCCCGTTGAGCTAGGCAACAGGCTGTGGCGAGGCTTCTCTTTATGATGTCATTGACCTCCTCATGCCTGGCATACTTCCCTTCTGCTGTGTGACACACGAGTCCATGAAGTCCGAATTGATAAGCCGTCGCCCTGCCGCAAATACACCAATGTTGGGTGAGGATGGGGGCAGCTAAGCGAAGAGCAACACCATTCCGAATGGCCTGTGGGTCGAGTCGAGTGCCCAGGGAGGAACTGAGAACAGCTAAAAGGAAATCTCCTGAGTGTGGTGCCTTCACCTCCAGGAGACGAGCTTTGTCCTTTCTTGAGGCGTTGGAGAGCATTGTGTTGGCGATTTTTTCCATGATCGGTTTGTTCCAGCGGGACTGTTTGTGCTCTTTGGGAGGAGCTGGTCTACTGGAGGAGTCTGCAAGGGTGTCCAAGTGAATCACTGCTTCAGTGAACCTGGGGTCTTGAGCTCCTACCACATCTCTCAAGCATTCAGGGACAATCTTCTTGACTAATGCACTTTAAGCCAAAAAACGAAGACAGAAAAGCAGGTAAAGCAACATGCGTTGCTTTGCTCACCCCTATACCTCCCAGTCGAACTGGGAGGGTTGCCTGATCCCATTGCTGATCCTCTAGTGACAGGTTCAGTGTCTCCTGAAAGGTTGATCTCAGGCGTGTGTTATATTCGTCGAGTGTTGAGTTGTCAAAAGTGGGTGCACACCTTAGGAAGTGAGTCTTGGCATAGTAAGACACCTTGTGAGGAGATAGAGAGCATCATGGGCATCAAGATTGCTTATTCTCTCTCCATTCTCGTCAGGTCATTCAATTTGTCCTTCAGGACAGTGTCGATGGCCTGGTGACCCAGCAGTGCTATCAAGAGAGTATTGTTGGATGGAGTGGTAGTAGAGACTTCCGGGAGGATTCTTCACAAGGCATTGATTATTTCCTGGTTCGCTGTGATGATTTCACACTTGAAGGGATTGAGGATGAGTCCCAAGTCTTCTCCCTGTGTTTTCACCAGTTGTAGGTATTTTAACAGGGACTCTTCAGTGTCTGCCAGAGTCCCATCATCCAGGTACCAGATGTTGAGCTCGCTGCATAGGCTGGAAGTTAGTTCTCTTACTGCCAAGCAGAAGAGAAGTGAAGCGAGTGAGTCACCCTGCTGAACACCCTCTGACGAGAGAATTTCATGTTCTCCAAACAAAAGAATTGAGGGTTTGCTGTAGCCCGCTGAAATGAAGGAAAAAAGACTGGGGAACCGATCCCGAACAGCTGGCAAGACAACATCTATCTTCACCATATTAAAGGCATTTCTAAAATCAAGTTTGACTACGGCCTTGTCTTCTTGTACGTCCCTGATGTAGGCCCTTGCCGCATGAGCTGTGGCTTCACTGCCTTGAGAGACCCCAAAGCCCAGTTGGTGTGGCTGGAGTAAATTGGCAGCTTCTAGGCGAATGTTTCTTACTGCTGCTTTCGCCCAGCCAGGCAGTTGTTGACGAAAGTTGTTACCTCGGTGAGAAGAATTGATGCAGATGCACCGAGTACTGGATTTACCATATCTTTGAGGTGCTGAGGTCGAATTCCAGTGCAATCTCCTGCATATCCTGCTGGAAATGACACAATTGCTTTATAGACTTCTGATTCTGGCAAAATTAAGTGTTCAATGATTGGGTCTTCCTCAGGGTTGTTGTTGATGGCTATGGTGTCCCTGGTTGGATGCTTGTCTCTTAGTGCTTGGGCTGTGGTCTCATCTTTGGGGGCTACAGTGTCGTCACTTGTAATTATTGTGATTGCTCCCACTGTGTTACCTTCTTTGATTTTTTTGCTAACCTGTGCGCAAATTTTCTCATTTTCAGTGGAACTTTTCTTGGGTCTACCTCTGTGATTCCTGTGATGATGGGGCAGAGGGACACAATTATCCGCTCTTGGGTAGTTGCACACTGCCTTGATGACTGATGTGGTTAGCAGTTTGCCTCGTCTTTCAGGAACTGCAAGACAGATGTTGTCGAACAGGAGTAGGTTGTGCCATGCTTGGATGGTGCATCGGGCTTCTAAGGTCGTGGAACCTCCATTCACCTGCTTAAAAAGGTCTGTGAATTTCCCTGCTGAATATGGGTGAGCCACTTTAAAGAAGTGGGATAGGGTACTAGCTAGCAGTGGATTTGAATGCCAACAGAAGGTTATTGCAAGTGAGGAGGTTGCCATTGGAATTGTCATCTGCCTGTGGAGGCTGTGGGCATATATGATCCGGCACACCCATGGTGTGCACGAATGCGGCCATCCCTGTTGCGTGCTCGAAACTCTCCACACACCTGACAACACACACACACACACACACACACACACACACACACACACACACACACACACACACACACACACACACACACACACACACACACACACACATTATATATATGTATATATATAAATATATATATATATATATATATATATATATATATATATATATATATATATTGTGAAAATTTGTCTGGACTGCCTCCATGTGAGTTACCTACCCTAGCAAGCTCTGTTGACACCGAGCTCTGAGGTCGGTACCTCAGCCTCACAAGTGGCTTATAGGACAGATTTCCATTAATGACTGATGAATGTTGCAAGAAAATCTCACCTGCATGCACGAATAAAGTACTAACTTATTGGTGTTGGAGAATATATCTCGGTCTTCAACCTCCCTAAGCTTTAGCCCCTCTGGACTTCCCCTCAGAACCACGTGCAACTGGGAGCCTTAATTCCGATCATTTGGCCATCCAGCTGCACAAAGACCCACATTTCAACTCACTCGCAAATTCCCCCCAGAAACTGGCCAGAATACTGAGAAAGAAAGGGAGGTGTTGTCTTACTGTGTGAGCCTGATGGAGGAGGACTTGTACGGTACGTCGAGGTGCCTCCATCAGATTTCCCCAGGGTCTATTATGTGTAGACATGTGGGGCACTGCCCTGATGTTCAAGGCACTTGTTACTCGGATGGTGTCTGATCTTAGAAGAAAGAACTGCTGTCTCAAAACCCCATGCCCAAGCATTCAAACTTGGGCTGCCAGTTCTCCCTGGCTAATATAACCTAGTGTTTGCCTACATTATCGGCCTATTACTACCTATGTTAAGATCTTAGGTCTGCATTATTATTATCTACAGTTGCCTCAATAGTCCAAATATTAGTTCACTAACAGTATAAACTACCTATCTCTTCCTTGAAGGATAAATCCATCAATTAAAATGTACCCTCCAACCACCTTTGCCAACCCGGGTGTGTGTGTGTGTTTTGGGTGGTTTTAAGGGCCACCCAACCCAGCTGTTCCATCCACAACCTGTTGGGATCTTTGTACGACGTATCTGCCCTGTGGAACCTTTTAGAACCGAATGAGTTTCCACATCTTCCTGCCTGCGAAGGTAGGTACTGGGACTAGATCAAGTCTGCCTCCCGCAGGCCCTCCCAATGGGTCCTGGACTTGAGCGCCGTTTGATGGGTCGTCCGGCCACTCTGATCGGTCAGCCTCTGGTCTAACTTCTCCTGACCCGTTCCCACCATGTGGACCTCGAGAGGCAAAAGCTTGTTGATGGGCCTTATGGTCTCAGCACCATTCATTCTCACCTTCACCATTCTCAACCGTCCAGCCTTATCTGGGTGGGTCGACACCACCAGGCCTAGAGGCCAGTATGCCCTGGGTTCCTGAGCTTCTACTAGCACCAGGTCCCCTTCACTCAGCATCATCTTGTTTGTCTCGGGGTCAGCACCATAGAAATGTTCTCGCAGGGCTGTCCAGTAATCCCTGTGCCACACTTGGTTCCATTTATCCATGATGTTCACCAGTCTATTGTGGCTCCTGTGTAATTCTTCATTGATGGGGGGACCATCTGGCCCATAATAATCCTGCTCCTTGGAAGACTGGCTCAAAATTGCAGGGGAGGGCTCAATCCTCCTTCCAAACAACATGTGATTGGTGATGAGAGCTTCCTGCTCATCAATCCCATTTTGCACAAAGGTCAGGGGCCTGTTATTGACTCTTGCCTCTATCTCAGCTAACACTGTCCTCAATTCATCAGTGCTCACTCTCTTGCCGTGCAAGACCTTCCGAATGCACCTTTTGACTGTGCCCACCATGCGTTCATAGAAACCCCCTTGCCAAGGCATTCTGGGAACTATGAACCTCCACTCACACTCTATTCTCTTCAGATATTCTCGTACTTCTCCGTTGTCCATAAGATTCCTGAAAACTTTATCGGCCACTCTGAAGCTCGTGCCATTGTCCGAGATAATCAATCGCAGGCACGAGAATCTGGCTGTAAACCTCCTGAACAACTTCACAAAAGCCTCTGTCAACATATCCTCTGCCAACTCCAAATGTACGGCTCGAGTAGTTGCACAAGTAAACAGGCAGACATATACCTTCTGAGGGCCTGCCTTATCATCTACTGGGTTCTTCAACATGATAGCCCCGGTATAGTCTATTCCCACAGTCTCAAAGGGCCTGTCACTATGTACCCACTCCTGAGGCAGCGGTGGGGGACCTGGGTACAGTAGGGTCCTCCCATCGTACTGCCGGCAGACAGTGCAACTTTTTATCACCCTTTTGATGGCAGCTCGGCCCTTCAGCACCCAGTAATTCTGACAAAGGTTGGCAAGGGTATCTCCAAACCCCCATGCATGGTCCTCTGATGAGCATCATGTATCAATAACTCTGACACCCACCCCTCCTTTCCCAGTAACACGGGATGTTTGGCTCCATAACTGAGCTCAGAGTTTTGTAGTCTTCCCCTGCATTTTATCAGCCCAGCATGATCTAGGAACAATCCCAGGGAGTGAACCAATTTACTGTTCCCTGAGCCGCCGTTGGGCACAAGACCCGACGTTGTATCCTGCTGCCCTGCCACCAGTACCTCCAGCACTCCTGGAAACCTCTCCCTTTGGTACTGCCATATCCAATATTCTCTGGGACCCATGAGAGACAGCTGTTGACCTCGGCTTACCTTGTCATGCAGCTTCCTCACAAATCAAAATACCATATCTGTGACTCCTATAAGTTTCCTCCAAGAGGAGTAACGTCTGGGGTCAAATAATTCAGTGTCAGGTACCCCCACAAAGTGTACTATATTGCTGGTTGTCTCCCCGAATTTCTGCTCCGGCCAGCACTCCTTTGCTAGTAACCAGTCTGGGCCTCTGAACCAAATCTTGCTTTTACTCAGCTTTTTGTGCATCACCCCTCAGCTTATCAGGTCGGCTGGGTTTTGATCTGTAGGCACATACAGAATTGTTGACGTTGACTGTAGCTCCTGTATCTTTTTTACCAGATTCCTGACATAGGGGAGCTTGGACCTGTCGTTCTGGGCCCACTGTAAATCCTCCTCCCTGGAGGAGGCATCACAGAAGACATGCAAGTCATAGTCTTGCCTGGTGCACCCGAGGGACCTGGGGAATGTGAACTCATGCAATTCTGCTAGATCTTTGCAAACCAGATCCCACTCCTGGCAGACTGCTTCTGGCAGTGGGTCGTCCCAACCTAGGTTCAGCTCCCAGGTCTGTTGCACTAGTATCCTCCCTCGAATGGTGATGGGTGTCAACAAACCCAAAGGGTCAAAGGCAGTCTGCACTTTACTCAGCAAGGACCTCCTGGTCGGCTTCCCTTTCCCATCAGGTTTCCTCTTTAGCCTAAGGCTGTCTTCCTTGATTTCCCACTCCAGTCCCAACACTGATGTTACCTCAGGTACTGAGTAGCCAGCATAGTCACGTTCCACCGTGCCTTGCAACGTTGGATTGTTTGTCACCCATTCTCTCAATGGCATGTTAGCTGAGAGCATCTCCTGATTAGACTCTCGGTAAATGTCCATCAACAGCCTCTCGTTTGAGGTGGTACCTTGCATGTTGTCTACGTAAAATAGGGTCTTCAGTAATTCTTTAAGCGGGCTGTTACAGTTCGCAAGGTGGTAGTCTATGGTGGCCTGCAACAAGAATGGTGAATTAGTGGCGTCAAACAACACCGCCCTGAATCTATAGGTATCATACCCTTGCTAGAGCACCTCCCTGTTAGCCGACCACAAGAACCTTGTGTAGTCCCTATCTTGTGGCTGCAGCCTGGTACATTGGAAGGCTTTGCTGATATCTGCCGCATAGGCATACTGCTCTGTCCTGAATCTCAACAACACATCTGCTAATTTCTGCATCAGAAAGGGCCCTGTGAGCAGACAGTCATTCAACCATGGCTCTCAGGGACTCCCCTGTGAGCTGCAGTTGAAGACCACTCTGATGGGAGTGGTTACTGACTCCTTGGTGACTGCCGTGTGTGGAAGATAATGAGTGTTTTCCCCAGGGCTGGCATTGAGTACTTTCTCAATGAAACCGAGGGCCAACTGTTCCTTAATAATGTCATCGTATTTCCCCACCAGACCCTTCTTGGTCAGGCTGTTCACCAATGAATTCAACTGACCCCGTGCCTTCTTGAAATTAGTGGGCAGCGATGGGTGTACCGGTTTCCATGGGAGTCGCACCCAGTACTGTCCGTCCTTGAACTGCACGTGGTTCAAGTAATCTTGATACATCTCTTCGTGTTCGGGGGACAGCTGGTCACCCTTAATCCCTGCTGCATCCAGGTCCCATAGTTTATGGACTGGCTCACTGTCGGCTATGTCGACTTGCGACTCTGACAGATCTTCATTCAGACCAATCTGCATCACCAGCACAGCCTCAGTCGCTGTAGTACCAGACCCCCATTTTCCAGGGTCGCAGGGAAGTGAGCTGGTATCCTGCCTCCTACGATGTACCCCGATGGAGTCCTGTACAGGCCAATACCCTCCTTGATAACCCTTCTCGTAGACACGAATTTGTCTATGTAATCTCCTCCTACCAAGATTCCTACATTACTGACGTTGTCTGTAGCAATGTCTGGCTCTGCCAGCTTCACACCCAACTCCCTTAAATGTCTGACTGCTTCAGCCAGTCCCTTAGTGGTAATGATATTGGGCAGCCTCTTCACTTTCAAGGCTGAAATTTTCCATCGATGCCCGGCTAATATGACCGTCACATCGACAACCGGATAAGATCTGCATGGGACCTGCCCACAAAACCCTTCCACCTTCATGTCAACCTTACCACCTGTCTTCAACTTCAACTTAGTTGCTAGACTCTCTGTTATAAAGGATCTTTGTGCCCCAGCGTCGAAGAACAAACGGGTCATTTCAGACTTCTTCCCATTCGTAACCACCGCCATTACGGTGGGCAAGGCCACCGAACCTTGAAACTACTCACCAGAACAAATCCCCGGTGCCGCACTCACCACACTCACCACTACTTCAGGCTTGTCCTTGCTCTCCGCCCTTTCCTGCGGTTTGCTCTCCTTAGCTTGTGCTGATCTGGTGTCCTAAGGACACAGTGCACTGTGGTGCTTACCTTTCCGGCAACCCTGGCACTCACTGAGTTGGGCATTACAGTCCCTGGCAAAATGTTCTCCACAACACTTGAAACAGAGTCTCAACTCAGTCGTTGAACCCTTCAGTTATAGGTGGTGAAGCTCGAGCACCCTGAACTAGCATGTTCTCTTTCACAAAACACGCACTGTCTCATACTGGCCGTTTTAGTGGCTTTTCCCTTGGCCCTGTTGGTGGAGGACTTGTCCTGGGCATAATATAAGCCGACCCTAGGAGGTGTTTTAGCTTTATCTCTCGAGTGTCTGGAGGGGTCGATCGACTTCACCTTGGTGGGTAATTTCTCCCCCTGACCTATGCTTAGGTGAGATACGAGATCTCCCAACCCTTCAACAATTTGTTGTATAGTGAACCGGTTCGTCCGATATTTCAAATGCAACTCGTGTACGGTAGTGCTAGCCAGTTTCCTCTGAATCATATGACTAATGACCCATTCTGAATCATCTTCATCATGTAAATCTCTAAACTATTTGTCAAGCTCATAATTTCAATGCAGAACTTCTCTAGGCTCTGACGGTCATGTCGGCAAGCCTCTAGATCCAACAACCGATAAAGTATAGCCACCTTTATCTCTTCAGTGTTGCCATACATGTTGGTAATTAGTGTCAGTAATCTAGTAGTGCCGGACCTTTCAGCTGTGATCATAAATACTGCAATTTGACGGCATCTGACAAATCGTTCCTGTCATTTATCTGAGCTTTAAACAGAAAGCAATATATTCTGTTAAGGCCCCGTGAAATGTCGGTAAATTCAACTGGGGCAACCTGGGCAACATAATGACAGGTGTGTGGCTGCTCGTGGTACCTGCGGTGTTCGACACCTCACTTGGCTTACTAGTCTTTAATGAGCTTAACTTATCTTAAGAACATAAGAACATAAGAAAGAAGGAACACTGCAACAGGCCTACTGACCCATGCGGAGCAGGTCCATGTCCCCCCGGATTAGACCAATGACCCCCCCCCCCGGATTAGCCCAGTGACCCACCCAGTCTGATCATCTCCACTCAAGGATAGAGCACTGCACCAGACCCAGCAGCACAAGATAGTCAGGTCCAACTCACACCCACCCACACCCAACTCATGTATTTATCTAACCTATTTTTAAAACTACACAACGTTTTAGCCTGAATAACTGTACTTTGGAGTTTGTTCCACTCATCCACAACTCTATTACCAAACCAGCGCTTTCCTATATCCTTTCTGAATCTGAATTTTTCCAACTTGAAACCATTGCTGCGAGTCCTGTCTTGGCTGGAAAATTTCAGCACGCTATTTACATCCCCTTTATTTATTCCTGTTTTCCATTTATACACCTCGATCATATCTCCCCTAATTCTACGCCTTTCGAGAGAGTGCAGATTCAGGGCCCTCAGTCTATCCTCATAGGGAAGATTTCTGATACATGGGATCATCTTTGTCATCCTCAAACCATACCCCCGG